AAAAAAAAAAAAAAAAAAGAATGGGAAGTTATACTCCACGAATGTATAACATGTTATAATACACTGTACTGTCATGTGGAGCCTAAAGAATAATTAGAAAAAGACTGAACAGGCTGGGCGCAGTGCACGTGCCTGTAATCCCAGTGGCTTGGGAGGCTGAGATGTGAGGATTGTAAATTCAAAGCCAGCCTCAGTAATGGCAAGGCACTAAGCAACTCAGTTGAGACCCTGTCTCTAAATAAGATACAAAATAAGGCTGGGGGTGTGGCTCAGACATGGACAAGAATTAGCTGTACCCTGAAAGTTAAGTAAGGCAAAACTGTATTTAGAAAACATAAAAGGGGGTCTGTTTGCTTCTAGAAGGCAAAATTTCTGTATGATTTTAATGTGTCTATCTTCAAATGGACATAAAAGTTGTGGCAATGTTGTTGCTGATTACAATGAAAACAAGAGTGAATTTATTGACTTAAATAGGTGGGGGCTGGGGATGTGGCTCAAGCCACATGCTCACCTGGCATGCGTGGGGCGCTGGGTTTGATTCTCAGCACCACATAAAAAAAATAAAGATGTTGTGTCCACCAAAAACTGAAAAATAAATATTAAAAAATTCTTTCTCTCTCTAAAAAAAAATAGGTGGTTTCTAGTTTGCATGTTTGATTTGTAGAACTTTTAACCTCAAGTTCTACAAATCAAACATGCAATTAAAACAGCATGTGTTAGAAGAGGCCTACAATGTATATAGACAAGAGCTGCAGAATGGGTTTCTAACTTAAATAAAAATTCTGCATTTTGAATTTTGTTCCTATACATATGCATGTACATCAAAAAAATTGGGGGGTCTGGGGATGTGGCTCAAGCGGTAGCGTGCTTGCCTGGCATGCGTGCGGCCTGGGTTTGATCCTCAGCACCACATACAAATAAAGATGTTGTGTCCATCGAGAACGAAAAAAAAAAATTAAAATTCTCTCTCTCTTAAAAAAAAATTGGGCTTTAAAAATTTCTGTGAGATCTATTTTTAGGTACTCAAAAAGAAATACAGGAATCACAGGCTATTTTTTTTTCTTTCTTTTTTGGTGTCACTAGGAATGGAATCCAGGGGCACTATACCATTGAGCTGCCTGAGATCAAGTAGGCAAAGAGGAAGAAAAAGAGGACACAAAGAAACACCTCTTGGGTAGAAGTACACTGCAGAGCTGCCCAGAGAGCTGGCACCAGCCAGCATGTGCCAGACTACAGAGAACTCTCGTCCACCCTGTCCCCATGCCCTGAACATAAATCCTAGAGGGCAGAGAATTCCACAGACAACGCTGTCAGAATTGGCAAGTATTAGGATGTATGGCAGTTCTCAGGCCCCAACAATAACCAAATTCCAAGATTTTGATCTAACAGGCAACATTCCTTAGAGAACTCTGCTCCTAGTAGGACAGTGCCCCAAGGTTCCCTGTCATGAAACATTTACTGCTCTTTACAAGGATATTTCACCAAAATTCAGGGACATACTGGTCTACTCATTCCTTAATCCAAGAAAGCAAACTCTCTGATGCAAGTTTGAGCAATTTTGAAAATGCTACAACTTTTTAATATTCTATCTAGCGTATTCCCTTTGCCTACTGACCCTGCAAGTTCATCCAAACGAGAGTCATCAAGCTGGCCAGGCAGGGCCGACCTCCTCCATGCCAGCCAACATGATGGCTCCCTGACTCCCTGCACTCCCTTTAGCCACTGCACAAATTCATATAGATATGAAGGTTTGAGAGAACAAAATAACTAACATCTTTCTTTTCTCCAAAGAGATAAAGTTATATTGCAGAGACAAATATGGAAAAGGACACTCACCATAAGTGCAAATCATTTTACTAGCTTCTCTGAAGAGAAGAATTCCATTAGGAGATGATACATCAAAATTCAAACGCTGGGACCTAGAAAATAGAGCAAGAAATTAAACTATATGTGCAGATAAAGAAACCAAATATAGGTTGAAAATGTCCAGCATTTTCATTTATTGGAAGCAGCAGCAATACAATTATTTCTTACACTACCATTCCAATCAACAACTGTTGATAAAATATGTATGCTAATTTCCTCACTACAAAGATACTAGACAATTAAGAAGGGTTTTCTTTTATTTGCTGATTTAAAGAGTTTATAAAGATAGTATCTGACACCCTGTAACACAGATTTCTGACCCCTCTTCTTTTTTATGCAAAGTGGTTGGTGGATAATAAGTAAAAAACCTTACGTGTACATGTATAAGTTTATACAGAAACGTGGACAGAGTTGTATTTATAATCTGACATCTTCCATAGTATCTGGTACCTATTTTTAAAGCAAGTTCTAAAGTGACATAAAGGAGATGCAGGTACTTTTAATACTGCACAAATTCATAATGAATCATGTGGCCCTTCAAGCAAATTTCAAACACATTAAATTACACTACAGATTATGGTGTCCAGTGCCCCTGGATTAAGTGTAGAGAAACAAATGCAGAAGTTCTCTGAGAATATTCCACTTCCCTGGTTCCTGATCGGAGTGGAACAGGGTCCAGAACTGACAAGCCACCCTGACACAGTTCTACTTTTAGAACATTTCTTTGTCTTTAGTTGGCTCTGACATGCTCTGTTGATGTGCTTTCAAGATATGATTTTTTTTTTAAATCAGCAACAAACCAAAAATCCAAAAGCAAACACATTGTTGAAGTCCTGTTTGCCACAAATAGAACTGTTGTTTCCCTATGTGTTTTCAAAATAGCATCACCTGCAATAATGTCTGAAAAATACTATTATAAACATGTGATAACTGTATGCAAACACATACAATTCCTGATTAGAGAAAAGAAATGGAATATATACATTTGCATTACATTCTAGAGAAATACAGATAACATTTTCACTAGGTAATTCTTAGAATATTTGTGCTAGATATGAATTATATGCCTGTGGCAGACATAAAATGCTTTATAATATATAATGCAATGAATTTTTCCTTTACTAGTAAATACTGTATCAGTAACATATAGTATCAACAATCTGGTTTAAAAAATGACATTTGATGGACAAAAATTTCTAATAAAATATAAAGCCAATCTTCTTTTAGTATTTAAAGCACTCCACAAGAATGGTTTAAAAAAAACTAATGTTTTCAAAAGAAAAATACATTTCTTTGCCAGGTCTTTTCCACCTCATTTTAGAGTAAAGATTTTAAATTGCAGTGGTAAACACTTGGCAAGACAGAGACAATCAGAGTTGCACCCCCATCCCCTGCTGGCATCTCCCCTTCATGGCGCTGTTTACAAGGAGGCACTGATGGAGCAGGACGGCTAAGTGACAGGTAATTTGGTGCTGAGCAATATTCACAATGACATATTTTAAAGAGGTAAACACAATTAGCTTGTTCAGTTGCTCTCTTTTAGCTACATTTTGTTAATATTTCTATGCAGGGTTTGTGAATCTCTGCTGGTCTATGCAAATTCTAAGGGCATCCAGGCAATTTCCAAGAAGTGTCACAGTTGCTATTTTAGTGAAAACTATGAGTGCATGAATCATCCAAACACATCCTGGCATCAAGGAGGAGGCACAGTGTCCAAGTGGAAGCGGGGACAATCCCTAGTGCTCCCAAGGCAACAGCCACGTGCCCATGAGCTGCTCGGGGACGCAGGTTCTCACAAAGTGGAGATCCCCTAAACTTCTTTCCTGCTCTAAATTCTACAGGATTACAGTTAAGCAGGGAAATAGTTGAAAGAGCTCTCCTTCCTTCCACTTTGTGACTAAATAACGGAGCTGTAGTCTTCTAATGTTTCCATTTCCCTAATCTCCACATGACCCAAGGTCACTGTGTCTCTCCTCCGCTCTCTTTCCCAGCTGGACTTCTCCTCCATTTCTCCCTTCCTCATCTCCTTCCTCCGCTCTTCGGCCCTCTCTATTTCCATTGCTGTCCCCATCACCTTCAGTTCCGCCCCTGGGTATGATGTGGGGACATTCTCCCACTTCCAGTTACGTTGCCCACCTGTTCTGCATCAGTTCTGCGATAAGCTTCAAGATGGGAGTTGTGCACGCTGGCTCCGCGTACCACTGCTCAACAGCCCTCTGCAGAACTGGGAGATACGTAGGGTACCTTCCGTAAAAGTCTGTTAAGGAATTTAAGGGTCTAAAAACAAACAACAACACAAAACTAAACTGTTTCTGAAAATTGATGCCACCTGTTCCATGTTTAGTATACAATGGCAGTAATTTTACGAATGACAAAGTCTTTCCAACCTGTATGCCTATACTTTTGGTGGCTGCATACGCTCTGCATTTATTTGTAATACATCCCATTGATTACACTGTTTTTAGTATTATTTATAAATGGAAGCTATACTTTTAAAGTATCATGCAAGTTACATTTTAAAAAAGTTTTTTTATAGTTATAGATGGACGGCATGCCTTTATTTATTTTTTTATGTGGTGTTGAGGATCAAACCCAGTGCCTCACACATGCTAGGCAAGTGCTCTGCCACTGAGCTACAGCCCCAGCTCATAAGTAACATATTTAAAAAATTATGTTTGTGTTGTAGGAAAGGAAAATAAATTGAGTAAAAGAGGAATAAAGACATACTTTAGTCACTGTTATCAGGGTTTCTTAGGAACTATATAGAGAAAAATATTATGAAATTTTAAAAACACACAGAAATAGTAACACTAAATCTCATGTATCTATGTCCCAGCTTCAGGATCACCTACATTGCTTTTATAAAGTTGTTAACTTGCTTTGCTTGGTCCCACTTATAGCTACAAGAAACATCTGGGATGCCAGCTTGAAGAAAAGCTGAGCAACTATTAACACACTCAGGGTCAGCAGTGCTAAAAGGCAGTCTCATGTGCACACAAGAAGAAACTCTCCAACATCCACATGAGCACCAAGGAGTGTATGCCCTCCCAAAAGCCCCAGATGGGGATGTGAGAACCTGGTACACTCCTGAGCCAGCTTCACCAGCCTTTGGAATTACCTCCTCACCTTGCCAAACAGACACATAAACACAGGACCAAAGCCTAAAGCTACTGCAGAAAAACTTCAACAATGCCACTGCTTTCATTTCTTTTTTCTTTCCTCATCTTTTTCTGATGTTTTCCACTCTTCTTGTCCATTTCAGGTGAAAGTGCTGAAAAGAACCACTGAATAGTGTTCTTTTTCTGTGTGGTGTGGGTAGGGGTCTCTAGGGTGAGAAACTTCTCCATGACCTGATGCCTTGCTCTTGGGACATATCTCTAGCTCTTCAGCATGGCACACCAGGCCCTTTAAGATCTGGCTCTGCTCCTGCAGCCTCACCGCCTGGCACTTCTACTCTCTCTACAGCCATGCACCGCTCCCTGCAAATCTGTGATGCCAAGGTGTCTCCTCCTGACACTGCTTCCTTCTGCCCCAGTCCTGTCCTTCAATACCTAGCTCAAGTTTCACCTCCTCTGGGGTGTTTTACCCATTCTGTCAAATGGCAGGAATCTTCCCCATCTCTGTTCAGGGAGCACTCCCGACCACGTTATAACATAGTGACTCAAGGTTGGCTGGCTGCTCATACATCTATCCCACTAGACAGTGAGTTTCTAAAGGAAAGAAACCTGTGCCTCCCTCCTAGCTCCCTGCTAATTCCTATTTGCCCCCCCCCACAGTTCAATGCATATCAGTTAATCCAGGAAGCCATTTCTGATACGCCGAAGGCCCCCACCCCAGCCTGAGTTGGGAGTGATTCCTAGGTGCGGCTGTAGGATCCTGGGCTAGCGTCACAGGACACTTCAGCATCAGCTTTCTGAGGGCAGGGACTAGGTACTTGGTATGCACAGCCTGGCACAAATGTAGGTTTCAATAAATATCAGTCCCACAAACCTGCCAATCTATAAATGAGGTCCAGTGTGCTTAAACAGAACTGTTTAACTGTACATTTCACTTTGAAGCTTTAGAAAATAATTTACATAAAGAAAATAAGTCCTCTAAAGCCTTAAGAGTGCTTTCCCCACTAGAGTTGCCATGTGAAAGCTGTGTTTATAATGAAACAAGTATTTAGTGAAGTCCTACTCTGCAACAAGCACTATTGTGAGAGTCTCCAGAGACACCAATGAACAAAACATTAGAGAAACCCTTGCCCTCATGGAACTGATATTCTGATAGGATAGAGAACAAAATAAGTGTTCAGTGTAAAGGAAAATAAAGCAGGGAATGGAGAAGTAGTGAGTGTATGTGCACGGGTGGGATTTCAGTTGAATGAGGATGATACAAATATACTGAATGAGTTTGATCATGAACTTTACTTTGGCTCTTGTCAGATAACTTACTTTTCTATGTCCTGAAAGCTGTTATTTTTGAAAGACGGTGCTCTGTACTGTTCTTGGGGCCAGGGACCCAGAGTTAAGGAAGACACAGTGTTTGCTCACTGGGAATTCATGCTGGGAATTCCAGGGTGGCACAGGGATAAGGAATGTGCAGAATACTAGAATTCTGAGGCAGAGCCAGAGGAGCACAGGTAAGAAAATGTTCCATCAAGAGCTCACCTGAGGGAGCATTAGTGGGAGAACATCTGAAGGCCCACCAGGAAACTGCAGAGATCCAAATATCAGAACTAAGCCCAGAGAGGCCCACAGGTCCCTGTGCCAAGTACTCTAACGGCATTAGGACCGTGGTATTTTTCAGAGCACACGGCATTCACTATGGACAAAACCAGGGGACGTGAGGGGATGTGCTTTTTTCTGTGTGGAATGAGAGTGGTGACAATTCTAATATGCTTCTGACAGAGGTGACTGCCACAGAGAAGATGAGTGATTACTAGAAAGCAGAGCAGAGGTCCACCAAGCTGAGAGGTTGAAAGGGCTCCACAGCGAGAGCAGCAGGCTCAGACTACAGGTGAGATGGAAATCCACTCTAGGAGCTTAATTTTCCAGTGGCCTTGTGAGAGCTCCACATATAAGATAGGATGAAGAGGGCGGGAGCCCTCAGGTAGAAGAGGCACAGACCTAATTTCACCTAGATTTTCTCAATGAATTCTGAAGGTCCACATCAAATAAGTGAAAAACAATGGCATATAGCAACATCTTACTGGACGCTAAGTATAAAAATGTGAAAAGTATCGGATTTTTGTCTACGTAACCACCCATCCATGTATGCTGTGGTTTATAGTTACCATGCGCTGAACCCCAAGAAAGCAGTAATGAGCAGACCTGATTCTTTTCCTCTGGGATTTCACAGCAGAGAAAGCATCAGAATACACCAGAAGGCCAACGCCAGAGTTCTTACTAAAAACCTCCAAGAGATAAGGGTTTGAGGATGGGATTCCTCAACAGAAACAGCTGACCACTTAGTTCATTTAAAGGTTCTCCAGGAAGATGCAAACACCTGGATCTTTGTTCATGAAGGCAACTGTGCTGCTGGGAGCCCCCMCTCTCGGTCCAGCAAATGCCTGTCTATCCTCTGAAGCTCAGCACAACCTGAATTCTCCCAGGAAGCCTCCCTATTTGGGAGCCTCCAAACCAATAATCTCTTCCTTGCCTGTGTTTACCTGGCCCGTTGTAGGTTTTTTGTTTTAGGGAGGGTGGTGGTATTGGGGATTGAACCCAGAGGTGCTTCACCATGGGACAACATCCCCAGCTCTTCTTATTTTTTTAATTTTAAGTCAGGGTTTAACTAAGTTGCTTAGGGACTTGCTGAGGCTGACCTCAAATTTACAATCCTCCTGCCTTAACCTCTAGAGCTGCTAGGATTACAGGTGAGCACCACTGCGTCTGGCTTGTGGCATGCATCTTTATCTTAACACACAGATGAATAACTGTTCATTCCTTTTTGTGTCTACTAGACCGTGAGCTTCTGAAGAGCATCATTCTCCCTTATGCCTGGCACAAAACACAGTCAAAACATGCCTGCTCTGTGAATTTTCAGGCTTACTTTCTTGCCAGTTTCTATCTGTCCAACATCATATCGCCAATCGCTTTCTTCGTGACTTATTATTCTGCTGGGCATAGTCCTAGCTGCTCTGGGAGGTTGAGGACAGAGGACTGCTTGAAACCAAGAGTTCAAGAACCAGCCTGGGCAATAATATAAAAAAGAAAAAGAAATATAGTTCTAATTTTTATTTTTTTGGTACGAGGATTGAACCCAGGGACACTTAACTACTGAGCCACATTGTTTTTTGTTTTGAGACAGGGTATTGCTAAGTTGCTTAGAGTTTCACTAAGTTGCTGAGGCTGGTTTTGAACTTGCACTCCTGACTCAGCCTCCTAAGCTGCTTCGGTTATAGGTGCACACCACCACACCTGGCTATAGTTCTGATTTTGTTAGTCAATCAAAACCTATTCCTATGAAATAAGGATCTACATTCTATAGTTTGGTATTCAAGGGACCCAGACAATCCGTTTCCAAGCATGAAGTGTTATCTACAATAAAACATCTTCTTTGTTGCTTCCTTTCTAGTCCTGGGATGAGGCTAACTGAAAATCGGTCTCTTCCCATTTCCCTATGGACCAGTCCTATGTATTTGGWACGATTCAGGGTCAAGTCTTCAGGTTTACAAAGGCATTCCTGACCCCCAGCTAAACACCATCAATTTCCTATTAGTATTTTGTTACGTCACTGACCACTTTCTATGTGTTAGTATAAGTCATTTATGTAGATAGTGGAGTCTGCTGAGCTAAAGCTCATTTGGGGGTAGGATTTGGGTCTAAGTAATCTCTACCCCTCATGAGGCCTAGTGCACTGGACCAAGAAAGCCCAATGTGTTAACTATTTAAGTGAACCAGGGGGATTTTCTCATCTCATTCTGTTATTAGGAAAGGAAATAGATAGTGGTGGACAATGTGTCTTTTGTGACAGAAACTGTACCAGAACTTTTACATAATCACAGAATCACAACACTTCTCATAACAGAACTGCAAGATGGCTATTAAGATTCCTGTTCTATGGAGGTGAAAACTATGATATGGGGACACCAGGTAATTCACCCATGACCCACAGGCTTCCAAGAGGTGAAACCAGGACTGGGATCTAATACTGTCTTATTGTGAGGTCTATGCTCTTCTGCATTTCGCCTTATTTTGCCTGTCTTTGCATGACATGCTTATGCACGTTAATAAACAGCACTGAAGGCCTGACTGGATATCAGTGAGTTCAAAGAGCATGACAATTAAGACCGAATATGAGGAAACAGCGTCAGACATTCCTTCCCCCGCCCCCGACAATTCCTCTGGATTTTTGATGCTTCAGTCTAAGGACAGCCTGGGACAAGTTTAAACACAGTTATTAAATGCACTACAAGGGAAGGAGTCTCCTTATTGTTGCATTCTTACTATGAGGCAAAGAAGTACACCAGTCATTCTCTTCAGTTCTCTAGTTGTGGAAACAATTTATCAAGATGGTTGCTGCTCACTTTCAGGCAATTTAGTTTTGGAGGGACAGAGTGATAAGCAATGTAGTTTGTAGCAGTTAATGCAGTCAGTGTTTGTAGAAATGTTTTTGAATTAAATAGCTAACCACTAAAATAGCATTTTATCAAATAATTGTCATAAATAAAATGCATTTTGACTTTAAGATGACATGTGCTCTTATAGGAATGTTTCTTCTGCATGCTAAGGATTGTATAACATATTAAAGAATACACATTTATGGGGATAAAAGGCAAATAAACTTCCCCAGCAGTAATGTGGGAATCATCACTGACGGTTTGACATATCAATATTTCAGGAAGAATAAATGACTTTCATATCCATGTTTTTTTTTATCATATACTTATTCATTTTTGCATTACTGAATACTTTGGAAAGAATCTGTACTTTATCACCTGAAACTGCTTAAAGTATTTCGAAATATTTTAATAAAGCCTTTTGAATTATCAAATAATGTAACTTTTAAACAAATTTTACTATTATTATAAATATTTGCTCTTCATCCCTTGCCCAAAGGAAAACTATAAATCTTGTCTCAACTGAATGAACACCATTTATCATATTCATTTCGTTGTCAATACAATTATGAAAAGCCTTTGGCCTTTTCCCAAGGAAGCTGATTTGCTACAGAAACTCAATTATTATAAGCAAGGCCAGTACCAAACCACTGCATTTGGCAATCTAACACAGAGTCCTGCATAACTGACACTTCGCCCTCCGCCCCTGACCCTAATAACGTCAACATCTATGGTCAAATGGAGGAGACAATGGTTTCTAGCTCAAAATGAACAGTAAGTCCTAAGATTTTCCATTTGCTATTTTCTGCCATCTGCTGGACAAAAGTTTCATTTCAGCTAGGTGCGGAAAGAAGGAGTTAAGTAAAGAAATGGAGAACTGATTTGATCCTTTGGTACTGGGTGTGGGGGTTGGTTCTTGACCTCAAATGTTAGCTAAAACTGCTGAAGACGAGAGAGGTGAAGTGCCAACTGCTGAGCTTCAAGAGAACTATCGATACCAGAGTGCCCAGACTGGACTTGGGTAATTTTCCATATAAATGAAAAGTTTTGACTTTGAGAGCTGATGTTTCTGTTTGGAGAAACAGAAAGGGTATGTAGGTCAGTGAAGTCTGACCTTTAAAATCAGAGGACTTATACCTTTCCATGTTAGAACTTACAATCTCCACACATGTACGTTATATGCTTAGGTAAATGACATATCTGATTCTCCAGAGATATGGAAAAATCTTACCTCTAAACCTTCCCTGAGCACATAAATCTGAGAAGTAGGTTTTAACTAACTAAAAATACAAGTGTAAGGGCTGTGGCTGTGGCTCAGTGGTAGTGCACCTGCCTGGCATGTATGAGGCACTGGGTTTGATTCTCAGCACCACATATAAATAAATAAAGGTATATCAACAACCCCCCAAAAAAATTAAAAAAAATACGAGTGTATACTAAAATTAGTGTTTAAATATTTGATAACGTACAGAGTTCTCCTGAACATGGCCATCTCCCCTGCTGGTTATGCTTTTGGCCTTAACTGTGACACGGCAGTTGATGAGAGCCTTTAGGAGTTTCTTTTGCAATTTATGAAGGAAAGAAAGGGTAAGAAAGGTTTGACCTTTCAAAGCAAATCAAAGTGTGACTTAAGAAGCTGCTTAGCTTTAAACTAGAATTTTTTCTCATGTGCTCTGAAAATTACAAGTTTAAAAGGAATGAAGCCATTACTTTCACTTACTCTAGAAGTTGTCACTTCCTATTAGGATCAAAGATGATTTGTACCCACTGTTAAAATGTTGATAACTATTTATGACTAGTGATTATATATGCCAGACATTTCAAAAAAAGCATTACATATTTTAATGGTCACAGTAAGCCTCGATACTGCATAATCTCCTTGTTTTAGATGATGAAACCAGGTCTTGAAGAGAAATGACTTGGCCAGGTTCACACAGTCAAGGAGGGGCTGGATTTGCAGCCTTGTCCATCTGGCACCAAAGCCTGTGCTCTGCCTCCTTGCACGTGATGGGCACTTCTATGGGAGACTTCTTCCCTGTCTGTACTGAACCTTGGCCATGGCAAATTCAAATTTTACCCCAAATGACAAATCCTGACCACTGACTTCCTTTTCTTTTCATGTCCATTAAAATTTTCTTCGGGATGAAGAACTGTGGCGTGATGAATTAAGGCCTGCTCAGCCTTGCTCGTTGAGATGAGTAGATTTTYAAATCTGCTCAACAATGACCAATGGCAGGATCCCCTGATCCCAAGTCAAGATGCCAGTCAGGTTTTCCCTGTACCCCCAACATAAACAATCACAGGGGGAAGCGATTTTTAAGTTGTCAATATTTAATGGCACCAAAAAATTGACCTCTCTGAGCTGGGTCTCCGAACGCTGTGCTCAGTTATCTGCACACTGCCACTGTGCTGTAATTTTTAGCTGATTACACATTAGTTCATTTAGCTTTGTTTCCTCTTCCCTACTGTGCCATACTATTAAACGAAAGCGAGGGGCCTGGCATCCCTCTGTGCACAGAGCTGGTATTGTCACAGTGTAATAAGGATACATCCAGTCAAACAGCATGGTGTAGCTGGTCTTTGTGTTCAGTGCAAAGGCAATCCCTCGAAGATCTCTTGCCAGCCCGATCAACATACGCTGTCAGTGGGAAAGAGACACAGTAATTGATTTTCACGTTAGTGCAGAGCAGATGGAGTAATAATCAGGCAATAATGACCACATATCTGATTTTGATTCATTAGCTAAAATGTCTCGTTCAGATCCCTTTCTATAGAAAACCATAGACTCTTTAAACAAACAGATCATCAGTCTGCTAACCAATTCTGCTTTGCTTCTTATAAACTGAGCTACGTCACAATTCTAGAAGCTCAGAGTCATTTAGATTCTTAACATACTTTGTTTGGATACTGCCAAATTTGGGGATTGGGGGAGTGACCAAGATTGATTATTTCACAAAACTGATATGTACAGGGTCTAGACATTATTTAATAATAGCAAATCTTAACACTGGCTTGCATAAAATCATTCTCACTATACAATTTAGAGTCTACCCTGGAAACATACTGATTTTTAAAGATTCCTAAAAAATGTTTAATAACTTAGGACAAAATAAAACTGGCTAAGTGACCTACTGGTACTATGACACAACCAGAATGGCAGTCACAGTCCTCAAGTAAGGAAAAGCTTTACAGTCAATGTCATGAGACTTGAATTTAAATCCTAGGTTCACTTAATTCTTAATTGCTAGTCAATTTATCTGTCTCAGATTTCTCATCTATAAGAGGGGCAAACAATGCCTCTCTAACAAACTCTGAGGAATAATCTTGTAAAATGCCTCAGCAAGAGTGTGAAACACAGCAAATGGTCCTCAGTATTCAGTTTTATAGGGGTAGTTAAAAAAAAAAAAAAGAGAGAGAAAAAAAAAGTAAAAAAGGAGAAGAAAAAAAGACCTTCTCTTGAATAAAAGAGATCTGACTTGTATCCTGGACTCTTAATTAAGCTGTCCTTAGGATGATGCTTGGGAAGAGAAAAAGAAACCCATGAACAGATGCTAGAATGTCAGAACAAAGAGCACAAATAAACATAATTGCAGAACAAGGGGGTGGGATAATTGAGATATGCAATTGTGACTTCTGAAGATACTGTTTCAGGAAAAAACGGCCAGAAAATGGCCTCTAAACTTTTCTTTTTATCAGATTTCTCTTTTTCTTCATACTCTGGTAATAAATGAGACTCATCTTTAGGAAGGAGTTAAAATGATCATTAAGGAGGCAGTAGATCCCAACTGTCATCTGAAGGGCTGAAGAGCACTTCAAGGGAGCAAGTGACAGTTCAACTGTCACAAGTCTCTGGCATCTCCTCCTGCCCCCTACTCTTCCTAAGAGCTGACTCAACATACCTGGATGTTGTCCATAAGAACATGCTCTTTCTACTGTCCAACGGTGTATGGAAGGCCCAAGTTCTGAAGCGGAAAAATACTGTGCCTTGAAGGCAATGACCTGCTCCTTCTCTCTTCGTCCCCCATCCTGTTTTTCTGCACCTGACTGGCCTCCTTGTAGGTGCTGTGCACGACCCGCTGCTGCTTTTCAGCATTCTGCTGGGATGCAGCCTTTCTTCACCCCTGGAACTGTTCCGCTCTCTGTCTCGGCTCTGCACATTTCTGACAGCCTCCAGAACAGAGCGCATCTTCTAAGAAGCCTTCTTGGAACAGTTCTGTTCCGGCTGCGGTATGTGCAGTCCAAGGATTCTCTGTGGGCCTCTGCCACYGTCAAGGTGGCCTTTTTGCTGTTTTTACTACATACACTTACACATTACAGGCTACACTTACAAAAAGCTTCCACTAACATACAAAAGACCCACCACTCAACTCTAAATTAGTTACCAAAACCCATGAATCCTGCTTTCTTTATACCTAAGTACAAAGAGCTTTAATATTTTAAACTATCATCATTTTATAAAAATGGTTAATTTTATATTTTTCTTAAAAGATGCCAAGTTAACAGAAGTACTCTAATTAACTCAAATCCATAGTTTTTTTTTTTTTGTTTGTTTTGTTTTTTAAATGCACTGGCCATGAAATGGTATCAATGTTTCATTTTAGAAAATGTTGCAAAAGAAGAGAGGAAGCATATAATAACTACATGTAAGTTTTAAATAGGTTTAACTGAGCAGAAAAGTGGAGTATTAAAGTTAATAAGAAATAGATTTCTTAGAGTCAAACAAACAGTACCTTTTATCTCTAAGCAGCACAGAGTGCTGTAAGAGTCTACACAGCTAAACAATACTAAAAGGGTATTTTCTCCCTAGCTCTGGAATGAGATAGGGAAGAGTTAACCAGGAGCTCAATTCTGGGCTACGGAAGAATTGGAGAGTGAGTGGTCATCTGGTTGAAATTTAGGGGAGGAGGAACCACAACTTACCATCTCATTTAAAACAGGACAAAGAGGTCCATTTTAAAAGTTGCCTTTCTCCTGTGACTGGTCATCACTTGACTGATCTGTGAATCGAGAGGCTTCTGCATTTCTAGTGAGGCAGTGTGTGAAGCGGGGCAAGCCTGGCGATCTAACCCTATGGCTTCCTTTTTCAATAGCTCAAGAGAAACCGCTGAGCGCTTCAGTCCACTGCATGGTGAACGGTTGTCTGTGTGCCAAGCGTGAGACGGATGGGCTGGGAAACAGCTGAACCGCGGCTCCTTCCACCCTGACCCCCAAAACAGGGTTTCTAATGGAAAGTCTGACAGACCCTTTACTGTAGTGGCACTACTGGGGGCAGCTATAATATTATCCTCATAATTCTACCATATAATAACAACAAAGAAAAGGAAGGTGAAGGGTCATTGTGCTTTGTCTTTAGAATTAAGATGGCTGTCTTCATCCTTACAGCACACTCTTAATTCTGGAGACACATCTTAATAACCTCTAAATAGTTCCAACAAAAGAGCCGTGTCAGAGGAACGAGCAGGCCCCAAGGTGTTTCAACTGGAGTGTTTTCATCTGCCTTTATTGCTCTATCCCTCTCCAGAATTAAGGCAATAACCTGTGATAAATTATTCAGGAACTGCTACAGGGATCAAAGCAAAATCATTCTGTTAAAGTGCTGTTTGCAACATTTGGCACTTAGTGCGAAAACTTTTAATGTGCGCATGCTGAAAATCAAGGATTTTAAATAATTTAACATTGTGGAGTTTTTACGAAGGGACTAAAGATAGCAGGTTTCTATTTAACTGCTCCTCTACCTCTGAGAAGTTTTCATTCATTTTCCTTAAAACTGATGACGTCATGGCCAAATCAAAAATGATGCATGAATCTGGGAAGTAATAGACTTGAGTTGGTTCTAAGATAGGGAAAGTTACAGGGGAAAAATGGCATTTTGGGGGATAATACTCCAGGGCCAGGGTTTGTTACAGTATTTCCCCATTTTCCCTCTTTACTTTGGAGAGAAGAAACTCAAGACAAAAATTCAATGTTCTCTTCAATTTTATTAGGACTAAGTAGGAAAACAAAACTATAAATTTAAGAGTTTTCTAGCATTTTCTTTCCTCACTACGATATTTCAATTTGGCAACACAGGTCCTTAATGTTTAAGTTTATCCCGGAATCTACATTTGCAAAATATCTATAAATAGGGAGTTAGAAAATCCTGGTAAGGGTTGCAAATTAAATGAATTTGGCAGTCCTGAGGCATTTTCATAGAGATATTTTAACAGCATCACCTCCTGTGGATTGGAATACTAAATGCTTTATTGAAGAACAAAACAGAACTGTTTTTATCTCTAGTACTTGCAAAATGAAGTACCTGAAAGCACTTTTGCATGTATTATTTATTCATCGTGATAGAAAAATAGCCTTAACCTAATAAATTACATTTAAAAGCATTTAGTGCAAAAGTTTTGTTTATGATAAAGCAACAGATTTAGTTCTTTATCGGTGGCTTAAAGCACCAAGTTTCTTTATACAAATTAGACAGATGGTGCTTACAGTAGAATTTACTAAAGGTCTGTCACAACAAATGCAGCCAAGCTGCATATTTAATCACTGCAGAATCTTGTCTACCTGCAGCTGCCAACTGCTAATCCAATTTCCCTGATAAATGTGGCAAGAGACACGATCAGCAATAAAGAGCATCTAACTCCATTTTCCTGCAGGGCGTCTTTTGATGAACATTTAGGACGGAAGCACGGAGTGCACTGTGTGGCCTTGGTTCGTGGCAGCTGCATGCATTCTGAGGCACAGTTCTCAGGTTACTCACTTAATTCTGCCACTATCATTACGTTGCTATTGATCTCAGTAGCTGTTGCCTACACAGCATTACTCTAGATGAAGCTGAATCAGGCAGTTATCATGCATCAAACTTGCTCAAAAGCCTGGAGATTTCCCCTTAATTACTTGTGATTTTATTTGCAAATACCGTTAAAGTGTAATCAAGCAGTCACTTTCCAGGGTCGTTAAGAACTTGCTGGTTTAGGGATATATCACTGGAACTCCATTAAAAATGACTCTAAGAAGATGGTTTCTATCAAACTAGATGGGATTACATCAAACCAGGCTTCAAACATAATGAAATCTTCAAATGAGACAAATATAATTTTTATAAAGATGGTGTTTTTGAGCCTCACTGCCTCTTTTTGATAAAGGACAGCAATAACCACCTTAAAGCTTTAAGGACTTTGTTGGTCAGTAAAGATATTTGGAAGACATCTAAAAAATACAGTTAAATACAGTGGAAACTGACAAAAGAATTTCAGCAAAAATATAAGAAAATCTGCAATTTTTTTTGGTATTAAAATTTTATAACTATGACAGCTTGATAAGCATTTATTTCAAAAACTCCATTTAAAATTAAAAGGTACATACAGCATTTGGCTAATTATTTTTTGGCAGGAGAATTATACATATAGCATCAAAGGCCACTGTTTTTTTTATTTGACCTGTTAATTTTTTTTTTTTTTTTGTGAAGAGGAGCCATCATGMAAAAGGTGGTGAATATTCCAATGCATTTCAAATAATAAAATATGACTCAGCCTCAGCAATGAAGGTGCTTATATTCTCCAGAGTGCACTTATTAGTTTTTTAAAAATAATAATCAGTGTCAATCTATTTAATATAGACTTGCTACATTATAATTTCAAGAGATACTATTTCTATTTACAGAGCTGTGCTTCCCATCCTCCATGTTAAAATATGGGGCTGTTTTGTCACAAACAGCTTGCTATACTTAAGGATTTTACTAATAAAACATAATGTTGTCTTAGATATTATGACTGTTGCCACAGCTGAACTGACTTGTCAAATCAATCCTAATATGGCTCCCACAGGCACATAAAAACCTTATTTAGCTATCAGTTATCCTAATCACTTTGTTCAGTTTAAGAATGCAATACTTCAAGACCAGCTCCTATTTATACATATATGCCTAGCCATTTAATAAAGTCTTGATTTATATAAATTCTTGTTTAAAAAATATTTAGAGATGTAATGTTTTAGCATGTGTGTATTTGTGCATTTCTCCATATGGGTAAGTTGAAATGTAAAGTGCAGAGTAGAGGAAGGCATCGAGATGTTTAAAGTGGTGTGTGGGCCCAGGAGAAATGTTCTATTAAAGAGAGTAACTGCCATAAGAGACAAGTCTGCGCCATCCAATCCTGAACAGACCATCCAAAACCATTCACTGACCTCAGAGTCCATTTTTATAAAAAACTAAAAAAGGTCTTACATGAAAAGTATGATCCAAAGACACTTGCATTTGGGAACACTGACCCATGCATACAGATGCAGGTCTGAGGAGCACAGAGCACACAGATAGATACGAAAGCCCCTTTCTGGATCCAGATATTCTAGAAAGGTCAGAATTGTCTTTCTTCACGTTGAGAAATAAACCCACCTTTACATCTTCTTGTTTGAAGTTGTTGTTGAATATCTGTAATACTGTTTCAAAAGAGACTGTAAGAGGCAGCATGAAATTCTCAAATTCGTCCTCATCTTCGCCTATTAGAGAAACAAAAGGGTCACCATGGTTTAAAATGCAGGCTATTGTACATTAGCCGCACACTGAGTGCTCCACTCAGGCTTAGAAATGTTCCCGAGAAGAGGTCAGCCTGCATTCACATCCATGCCACATTTTGTGCTTTGGCTCATTGAATATTCTGGTGTTTTGCCTTCTCTTTTGCACCAAATGAAATAGCAACATTACTTACTATCCATTTTTTTTTTTTTTTACTGGCTCTTTATTGGATTGAACAGACTCATGCCCCAGGCATTTCAGCTCTTTAGCTTCTGGGGCCCCCAGAGCTTCCCTGATGCTTCAAGGAAGGCCTCAGAGACAAGGGTCTTTTCTCCCCCTTCTTTTTGGGTGCCAAGGCCCTACAGGGCTCATAGACTCAGGTGCCCAGATAGATAGTTCTAAGTTATTATTCTTTTTTTATTTATGTGCTTTTAAAAATTTAATTTATTAAATAGATGGTGGGGAAAATTTTAATCTGCCAAAAAAGGATGGGGCCCCTTGGGGATCATTGTGGATTTTAAATACATGCATCGAGGGCACACATCTTCTTACACTAAGCTTCCTTTACATAAAGACAAGAGGAAAAAGAGAGATTTCCTATTAATTTTTCACTTCAAAGGTAGACTGTAGTTTTCTCAAGGATTCTGCCAAAACAGAATCTTTACTTCACCCGTGGATATGCACAAGTAATAATTTATAGTTTCTTTTCAAAAGCAGTTTCCTCTAAATGAGTCTGAGCTCCCTCATTTGTCCCAGGCCACAGTGAACCACAAGCCCCACTTTACTAGTGAAGAAACAGGCAGAGAGAGAGGGGAGTGTCTTGTTAGGGAGAATGACATACATAGCTGGGGGTGGACATATGGCCCGGGCCTTCCGCAGGTGATGGTGTAGGAGAAGATGGACCTGGGTGAGGATGAGTGAGGATCCAAGATCTTAGACAAGACCAGTGATCCTCACTACGGTGCTTGATCAAGACCACGAACATCACCTGGGGACTTGTTAGGAGCCAATTTCCAGATTCCATCTCAGATCAGTAGTTTTGTTCTAACAAGCTTTCCAGGTGATTCAGATGCCTGCAACATTTGAGCAATACTACTCTCCACATTATTTTACAGGTAGGGAAATTGTCAAGGCCACAAACACAAGTGATCCATGGCAGGATCCTTTGACTATTTAGAAGTGGCTCATCTAAATGACCCGATCTTTTAGGACTTCTCTCTTCCCTTCAACTTTACATACTTTGTTTTATGAGTCCAATAGAACCAGGCACTGAGCTTTCCTATGAGGTGTCAATAGCCAAGAAGTCTTTCCTAATGTGTTGTTCTGAACAAGTATCAAGGTAGACCACATGAAAATCCCTGCTCTGTCAACTGGTTCTGTGGCCAAGTGAGAGACCTCTTAGGTAAAATGTCCTCTATCCAGTGGTGATGACATTAGACCTATATGGAAGCTGTTCTTATTTGTCAAGGCCTGCATCAAGTGACAGCTTCTCAATGTCCAAGTTAAGCTCTACTCAGTACCTCTGCAAGAACTCCCCCTTCTTCCTTTGGATTTCCGTGGCATTTGGCCTCTTCTCCCCCACCCCCACATTTCTGATTGGTGCATACAGTTGTGATAATGATGGGATCTGTTGTTATGTATTTATACATGCACACAATCTAACAACATACTTTGGCCAATATCACTCCCCAGTACTCCCCCCCCCCCACCCTTTGGTCCCTTTCCTTTACTGATTTCCCTTTGATTTTTAGGACATCCACCCCTACCTTTCCTTTCTTTTTCCCCCTCTAGTTTCTGCATATGAAAGAAAACATATGACCCCTCACCTTCTGAGTTTTAACTTATTTTGCTTAACATGATGGTTCTAGTTCCACTCATTTTCCCATGAATGCCATAATTTCATTTTTCTTGATGACTAAATAAAATTCCACTGTGTATATATACATCACATTTTCTTTATCCATTTATCTGAAGATGAACACCTTGGAAAAGTAAAAGCTTTTTTGGAGAAGCTTTCCCAAGGAAAGCTCACATTCTCTGCTTAAATTTTCAAGGCCCTGGGCATGCTGAGCACACACTCTACCTCAAACTGACTCTTTACTATAGCACAGAGTTCCTTAATTTCCAAGCATTTAAGAATATGATTATCTAATACCACCTACACTGTAATGTCACCTCCATTATACTGTCACCATTTGATCAGGGTTCCTAAGGGGGTTAAGGAAGTTAAAATTTATGGGCAGGGGGTGGAGCTCAGAGGTAGAGGCTTGCCTAGCATGCATGAGGCCTCATGTTTGATCTCCAACCACCTCATTCACACCAAGATAAAATCTGTGCGTATATATGTAAGTTATCACTATCAGCCTACCTGGATAGTATCTGGGACTTAGCTTTGAGAGAGCTGAGACTCTGTCTCTTTGTGTTTCTCTGTGAAAGAGAATGATGCAGGCTTCTGCAGTCAACAAGCCCAGGTGTCTGATTCCTCCACAGACTGTTTAACTTTGGACATTTTACTAATGACTGAACCTCAATTTCCTTATCTATCAAATATAAATAAAAATACCTATCTTTGAGGGTTGTGGTGAAAATTAATTGCTATAAAACATGAAAAAGAGAAGATGCTCAATGAATAGTAGTGATGGCACTAGTATTAAAGTCCTTATTTTCTTAATACTGATATAGAATAGTACACAAATAGCTGAAGTAGACAAGATTGAGTCCTAATTGCAAAACACACATGTACATTATATTTAACCCACACAATTTCATAAGATAAAGTGCTTTCTAAATGTGGAGTTATTAATGAGAACAGTCATAATAATCACTGAAAGTAGATAAGGCTGCTGTAAATGGGCAGATCTATCGAAGCTTGATCCTGGCTCTACCTCCATTAGCTGTCTGGGCCTTTGCATCCTTGTTTGTGATGAAGAGACAAGATATTTACTGCATAAAGCTGGTCATGAGGACTCAATGACAACATATGTGGCACTCTGCTTTACTGGCACTTCATAAACAACAGCCATCAGCATTTTTTGTTGCCCTACATTTAACTGGACTTAGAGAGATGACTGGTAATTGAATGAAGTGAGCAGAGAATGTGAGCTTTCCTTGGGAAAGCTTCTCCAAAAAAGCTTTTTCTTTTCCAAGGTTAAGATGTTTATTCACAACAAAGACAATTCAGAGCTTTAACATCTCAACCCCTCACTTAATATTCTGAACTACTGATCAAAGGACTTCCTGGCTTCACCCCTTTCTCCAGCCAGATTTTGAGGCAAATGGATATCAGGAACACAAGAAATTAGACACCATGAAAGGCAGCAGCAATGTGAGCAGCAAGTCCCTCTGAAAGTCACTTCCTCCGAAAGGCCTTTCCTGACCAACATCCATTCCCCTCACAACTCTTTAATCCCATAAACAACCTTACTTTTCTTATGGGACTTACTGTGACTGCTAATCTACACATTTATGCATTTCTTGTTCATCTTTCCTATTAGAATATAAGCTTCTTGGGGGAAGGAACTCAGGTTATTTTGATCATGGTTGTATTCCCAGTGCCTAGAAAGGCACCTGGCACAAGAAATACTTTTGGTGTGACTAAATAACAGGAGTTAGTTCCTGAGTGCTTATTATGTGCATGCAATAGATTTGGTACTGAATTTTTTGAAAAATATTTATGTGGCTCATTCTATTGCATTGGTGCAAGTCATAAATGGTCACCACAATCCTATGGAGCTGCAGGATCTCCTTCACTATACGGTGAACAGAGAGGCTTAACAGAGTTCAATGGCTTGCCTATCATCTCCAGCTGTACACGTCAGTGGGCTGGGAGCCCCAGGCAGGGCTGCTTCACCAAAGCTCATGCTTTTTCCTTGAATCTCCGATGGGGTACAAGGTGCCAGAGGTGTGGACTGAACTCAGAACCATACAATCCTGAGTTTTGACCCGCATGAAGTCCGAACAGGGCCAGGAACAGTCAGTTTGGTTCTGGTGAGGTAAATGGACCCGGCCCCACCCCAGGAGTTTCAGGTGGAGAGCAGAAGAAACTGTACCTCGACTACCACAATGCTCATGTTTCAGTTATCACTGTTCCTCTGTTACTGGGACTTGATATACTTATCATCTAAGTTGGAGAACTGGCTGTTTTTGTTTATATCACACAAAAAACTTTATACAAAATCTATTAAAGATTTTTTCCTCATTTATATTACCATAGAGGTGTCATTTATTGTTCCTGATGCAAAAGGAGAAAATATGAGCTTCCTTGTAACTTCATATTCAAATATATAGTCTTATATTTAGTATGCCAAATGTGTATGTGATAACTCATGAATCATAATTGAAGCTAATTCTTTTTCTAATGAAACAAGGGCCCAGAAATCAATATGATTTGAAGATATAGTGTTAATTTCAGACTCATATTTTCATTGAAAAGTAAATACTAACATAACATTATAAGTTCTGAGTAACCCAAAAAAGAAATGAAAAATTATTTGGCTTTCAGGCAAAACTAAAAGTATTCATCTCTACTGGCTTTCTGGGGATATAATTCAACAGAAAGTTACTATTTTTATAAGTTCCAAACATTTTTTTCTTGAGATATGTCACATTAAAACAGAATAGTGAACCTTTTATATGTTGGTGATCAGATATTTTATTTGTAGGACATTTCATTCATCATTTTGCATAATTAAAATCTCAAGTGGTGGGACCATAGACTGTGGAAAAGTTTGGCAGTTATCAAAGCATCAGAATTGTCCTTTGTCTCAGCAGTTCCACTCTAAAAAGAACTGAAAGCATATATTCACACAAAATTTAAACGTTCGTGGCAGCATGACTTCATAACACCCCAAAGTTGGAAACAATAAAAATCTAAACTGCTTATCCAAACTGATGAATGAAAAGCAAAATGTGGGACAGCCATACAAGGGAATATTATTCAGTCATACAAAGGGACTCACTACCAATGTGCACTAAAAYGGATGAA